CTAATAGAGTTTCTTTTTTCCAGGTTTTCAGATAAGACACCTTGATAACATTTATCTTAAGAATTCCTGGAAAACCCTTTTAGTTATTCAGCTAGAAAGAGATCAAGTTAAAATCGTTTTGTGTCAGCCACGCTATGTCTTCCCAAATAAGTAATAGTGAGATGAAAAACAAAATTGAGGCCTTCAATAATGGTACCAACATTCATACACATTTCCATCTTCAAAAGTCCATCAAATGAATGGCCAATAAGTTTAAAAAGAGAGAACAGTAGATCATGAGGTCACAGGAATAAGGATCATTATTTTAACTTAGAGATAAAGACATCAATTAGAAAAGATCCAACTCAATTCATAAGACATTTGGCACCGGAGAGAGGAGTTTCAGCTATGACAGTCCAAAGAGCAGTGAAGAACTTGAAAATGAAATCGTACGTGAAACCTGTCAGGCACCTTGTTACTCCTGGACAGAAAGTTAGAAGGTTAGAGAGGGCGAATATCATTTTGAATAAGTTGAATAATACATACATATATATATATATATATATATATATATATATATATATATATATATTATTATTATTATTAAAATACACCTTTAAGTGCTGAATCCAGATGCGTCGTAAGTGTCATTGCTCCCATGTCACTAGAAGTTTCGGGTCTAAATAAACAACAGACTTCTTCGATGGGCGACCCGACCGAATATGATCAGTATTCGGCCCGCACCTAGAACAAAATCTGCCACTAACTTTAGGACGTGAATTATATAAGTTGCCCCAGTAGACAACAACCAATCAAGACTTCACTTGGGCTATTCGAAGTTATAGATTAGGTATGCATGGTTGTAGTGATCTTCCTGCATGCGGCCAAGATAGGGTGTTTTTTGGGAAGAATAGAAGAAAACCTCCCCTTTTAACTTTTATAAAATAACTTATTTGTTTGGTCTTTCTTTTCTTTCTTTTCTTTTTTTTTATTCTTATTTTCTTTTCTTTTCTAAACTATACTTAATAAAAAGTTTACAATAAAGCGATTAAAATGACTTAGACTACTTACAACTTTAAAAAACTAAGAAAAAATAAATTAATCAAGCTATTTACATGTTAAATACTAGTTAAAAAAAAAAACATGTGTAAATTTTAGATAAAATAAGTTAACCCCCCTCCCCCAAAAATTATCCTTACCGTTGTATATATATTTGAACTTAATTTCAATCCTTCCTCAAAATCTGATCCTTTTCTGATTAATTAATGATGAACATTTTCGCTTATGATCGATTTCATCACGATTCTTCTGTTAAGCTAGAATAATTATACATTCTTATTGTTAAAAATTCAGTACTGTTAAAAAACCTCAGAGAATTCCAGAAAAGATTTTTAATCAATTCTAGTTACTCAAATGAATCTAACACAGAAAATTTTGTTTTTACACGATTTGGACTTTGCAGTTACACCTTGTGTGGATTATTTTCCGTCGTTGAACACAGAAACTATGATTGGATTCGAAATCCTTTCATAAATTTTGCTTCTAATATTGGGCTTGTGTTATATGAAGAAGAATTGACCATTTTTCAAAATACAAACATTCGACGCTACCCATTGATACATTTTGTAAATTCAAAGGAATATCCCACATTAGCTAAAAAGGCTTTATCAGTTTTATTGCAACTTTCTACTTCTTATTTATGTGAATTAGGCTCCTCAACCATAACTAACATAAAAATAAAAAGTGAGAAAGACTACGCTCAAATGAAGAAATAAGGGTCTGCTTATCACCCATTGATACATTTTGCATTTCAATTCAAAAGGAATATCCCACATTAGCTAAAAAGGCTTTTATCAGTTTTATTGCAACTTTCTAAAATTTATGTGAATTAGGCTTAACTAACATTTTATTACCTCAAATGAAGAAATTCACCCATTCATTTTGTATTTATTCAAAAGTGACATTAGCTAAAAGGCCTTATCCTTTCTAAATTAGGCCCTCAACCATAACTAACATAAAAATAAAAAGTGAGAAAGACTACGCTCAAATGAAGAAATAAGGGTCTGCTTATCACCCATTGATACATTTTGTATTTCAATTCAAAAGGAATATCCCACATTAGCTAAAAAGGCCTTATCAGTTTTATTGCAACTTTCTACTTCTTATTTATGTGAATTAGGCTCCTCAACCATAACTAACATAAAAATAAAAAGTGAGAAAGACTACGCTCAAATGAAGAAATAAGGGTCTGCTTATCACCCATTGATACATTTTGTATTTCAATTCAAAAGGAATATCCCACATTAGCTAAAAAGGCCTTATCAGTTTTATTGCAACTTTCTACTTCTTATTTGTGAATTAGGCTCCTCAACCATTGAAAAAGACTACGCTCAAATGAAGAAATAAGGGTCTGCTTTATCACCATTGATACATTTTGCATTTCAATTCAAAAGAATATCCCATATTAGCTAAAAGGTTTATCAGTTTTATTCAACTTTCTACTTTATTTAAATTAGGCCTCAACCATAACTAACATCAAAAATAAGAAGCGAGATAGATTACGCTCAACTGAAGAAGAGATGGGGGTCTGCTTATCTCACATTCGGCCAAACATTGAAGAAATCGCGGAAAAGCACCAGGCATAGGTTTCAACTTAATAAGCTGCACAAATACTTAAATAGAAATATGAAAATAAATTAAGTTCATATTTGTGTGGGTATTTTTAAAAATTCTAAGGTTTTATTTCATAACATTTAAATATCTACATTATTTACATTGTTCGGACTATTGTCCTCATCTTTGTCGCCATATTTATCACAACGTTTCGGCCGTTGTACGCTCCGGCCTTCTTCAGTTGGTTGGAATTTCGAACTGAACCCTTTATTTCGCTCACTGGGGTAGACTGTTCTTGTTCCACGTGCCAACCAACGCCTTTATGACACATGGCACAGTGGATAAAGACGTTGGTTAGATCCAGTGACAGGACCCAAAGAGTGTGAGTTCAATACCCATTTAAGGCAGTGTAGAACTTTCAGAGGGAAAATTAGCAGGAGATAACTGATAACTGACATCCATCAAACATGGCACGTGGAACAAGAACAGTCTACCCCAGTGAGCGAAATAAAGGGTTCAGTTCGAAATTCCAACCACCTGAAGAAGGCCGGAGCGTACAACGGCCGAAACGTTGTGATAAATATGGCGACAAAGATGAGGACAATAGTCCGAATAATGTAAATAATGTACATAGTATCTCATCTCAGAAATATAGACAGAATTTAAATATCTGCCCTTTAAAAACTTTGCTAAGTGTGCCGTGATATTTTCATTTGCTCCTAGGTGTGCCGTTGCTTAAAAAGGTTGAGAAACACTGCCAGAGAATGATAAATTTAGGTAAGTTCTCTGTGCGTTTGTCTCTCGGCCGATCACAAATCTCACTGCATTTCATCAAACATTTATGCCTAAAGACAGTTACCCGTGTGTATGTATATGCGCAGTGAGACACCAGTGTACGAACAACTACAAAACAGATGAACGTTTCTTTACCATACGTCAGGCGATGGCATTTACGACGGTACAGCTACCTTAACGATTCTGTGTATATATACGCATAGATCGAACCGCTAGTGCATGCGTATAAGCAGCGTTTGTCCGGCCAGCGTTCCGACAATGGCAAAAACAAGCAAGTGCACATGACAGAAGCTTTAGAGACATCCACTCCTCGTCCTGTTCTTGTCTATTTTATCTTAATGGGCGTTCTCCGTTTGTCGCACTCGGAAAGTTTGGAAAATCAGCTGACTTGTGTAGTCGGGAAAAAAAAACATTGATAAAACTTGGGCGTGGCTAATTTTATCGTCCAACAGGTCCCAACAAGGACAGTCAGAGCAGCCTGGTGACAGAAAGTATAGGTGGGGCGTGTCAACGAGTCGCCAGAAGCTGGTGACGATATATTTGTCCGCCTCCAAAATTTTATTTGCTTAAACTTCCTGAAGCTTTTGTCAAATGGACCTTAAGGTGCTTATCTGAGTACCGCGACAATAGAATTTCTTTGGACATTCTAAGAACAGACAGATTATTTTGAGTGACAAAAAGAGATTTCCTCATACACACACACACACATACAGATAAATAATGACACACTGTGGTGGATAGGTAAATAATGACAGACTGTGATATATATATATATATATATATATAGAGAGAGAGAGAGACAGACAGACAGACAGACAGACAGACAGATAACAGCAGACTGAGGTAGATAGATAATAGCAGATTACGACAGCTATTGAGATAGATAGATAGATAGATAGATGAGGTAAAAAACGTATTTGTTTGATTATTAATTTTATCCATTTTTTTACCTATCTATCTATCTATCTATCTTCTCTCTCTCTCTCTCTCTCTCTCTCTCTCTATATATATATATATATATATATATATATATATATATATATATATATATATTAAAAAAAAAATACAGATAGTGTAATATAAAATATATATAAAAAAGCGCAAAGGAGAAATACAAACCAAGTCAGGAACAAAGGACACACACACACGCGCGCACACACACACACACACACACACACACACACACACACACACACACACACATATATATATATATATATATATATATATATGTTAAAGAAAAAACAAAACCGTTGATCAAACTAACGAGCATCTTTCCAAAACTTTATCCCGATAATGTTTCGAACAAAACCGACAATACTGAAAAAAGAACAAGTAAATGCCAAAAGCAAACCTAATTACTCAGTAAAGTGCTCCAAGCCTAGATTGCCTATACAGACCCCCCCAAAAAAAACGCTTAACACCGTTAAATCCTATGAAAACATGGCCCTAGTCCTAACCTGAATTTAACGCTTACGCGATTTTCTGACGACTATATATATATATATATATATATATATATATATATATATATATATATATATATATATATATATATATATATATATATATATATATATATATATATATATATATTCTTGTCGAAATGAGGTTACGGCTATATCTCGTTGAAACACCGGTTCTCGTACGATCACCGAAGTTAAGCAACGTTGATCCTGGTCAGTACCTAGATGTCTGACCGCTTGGGAATATCACGTGCTGTAAGCTTGGATGTACAGGTGGTGTAATGGATAACGGCACGGAATTGTTAATCGGAGAGCCGCATTCCAATACCATTCGAGTTCGTTATACTTACGCGCAAATATCTTTGGAAAAGGTATGAATCCACTTCTTCTTCCTCCCAGCAATGAATTAATTAGTAGAACCTGTATCCGAATATCTGGGAATATTTTTCTGGCAATTAACCTGCAAAAATAGTATGTCTTCAGTAAGCAAGCTTCATGGAGCTCATCCCTTTCCAGGATGGTTTGAATTCAGTTTCCCTTCTCTTAGATTGGTTACCAATCAAGGCTATAAGGCCCAATCTGTCTTCCTGTTTACACATAGTTGGGGATGAAAAGAGGTGGATTCACACATTTCCAAAGAGTATATTCGCGTAAGTGCATGTAACGGACTCGACTGGTGTAGTGATATCAGCCTGTTTAGAATTGGGTTTCCGATTTCTTTCCATTAGGTTTTTTTATTCCCTTTCACTCCCAATAGCCCCTTGCGTCTTAGTTGTATTATCGCCTTCTTTGGGGTGAATTGATTAAACAAACTTGATTCGGGCTACGTTGTAGAGTTATTCACGAAGCCAGTTACCTCTATTCAAATTAGATTCTTTTATTCAAAATAAACCGTTATTATTCTCATAATCTGTCTGTAAAAGCATATCTCTATCGCCCCAAATCTCTTCTTTATCTGTGAGGAAATTGTCCAGCATTCAGTGCCATATAGTAGGATTGATGTTACATAGCAGTTCATTACTCTTTTCTTTGTTTCTGTTGCCCGAAGTCTCCTCTTCATCTGCGATTGATATTACATAACAGTTCAGCAGCCTTTTCTTTATTTCTCTTCCTTCAAGTCACTTCTTCATCTGTGATATTACATATTGCCATATTTAATATTACATAAAGTTCACTCTTTTTCTTTGTTTCTGTTGCCTCAAGTCTCCTTTTCATCTGTGAGGAAATTATCCAGCATTCACTGTCATATTGGAGGATTGATAAGACATAGCAGTTCAGCACTATTTTCTTTGTTTCTGTTGCCTCTACACTCCTCTTCAAATGTGAGGAAATTGTCCAGCATTCACTGTCATATAGGAAGATTGACATTACATAGCAGTTCAACACTTTTTCTTTGTTTCTGTTGCCTCAAGTCTCCTCTTCATCTGCGAGAAAATTGTCCAACATCCATTGCCACACAGGCGGATTGATATGACATAGCAATTCAGCACACTTTTCTTTGTTTTTATATAAGAGGTAAATTTTAAGATGGAAGTTTCATTGTTTTAAAAAACAACCGTTCATATTTTTTTTTTTTTTGCTAAGCATGATGTAGTTCGAACATTATCGATCGAAATCCGGCATGTTTTAGATTTTCATTAAAACTACTCTACAGTCGGGACGATTCTTTTGCGAATGTCTCGTGGTTTCATGGCCCGTTGCCCAAACCTTTAATCCTGAAACGGAAATAATGTTTTCGCCAAAACAATCAAAATGTAAAATTACACCTTAAAGGAAATTGACCGCCGGTCGTTGGCAGCTGTCGAGGACGGCTCCATCAGGTAAATATTTATTTACTTAACTTGGTAGTCGTTAATAAACAAGTTGTGATTGTCAACTGTTCACAAGTCCCTGCACGAAGAAAGGGGGGACTGGATGCTGGGGACAAGTGTGGGGAGTGGAAGACGCTACCAGTGATCACCTGTGACCGGTTAAAGGAAAAGGTTTTCTATTCGTTTCACATTTAATAAACGTTGTATGATGGTTGGACAAACTGAAATAGATAGATAGATAGATAGATAATAACAGACTGAGATAGATAGATAATGACAGACTGAGATAGATAGATAGATAGATAGATAGATAGATAGATAGATAGATAGATAGATAGATAGATAGATAGATAATGACAGACTGAGATAGATAGATAATGACAGAGTGAGATAGATAGATAGATAGATAGATAGATAGATAGATAGATAGATAGATAATGATAGACTGAGATATATATATATTATTGTTGGTTGTCTCTTTCTGTTGCTACCTATTAAGGGTCAAATATTCAAGTGTAGTATCAGAAGAGATCCCAGAGACAACCAGCTATAAATTCTCTCTTATGTGTCGGAAGATTGCTTCTGCAACACAAAGCAAGTCTTATTCAAACAAAAGCACAAATGAACAATTAAAAGCCATGACTGGATGTAGTTTTTCATTTTTCTATTTCCCAAAACACAATATCATAGATGCAAGCGAATACAAAGTAATTTGACGAATATAATATATTTGATTTTTAAAGTATTTCACTCGAGCAAATAAGTAAATTTACTCTAAGGGTCTTTGCACATTGTGGACTAGCGTTACAGATTCACACAAAAAGAACTGTACCAAATAACAGAAGACACGTCACCTGAGAACTACAACAGCGACAACAACTAAAATGAGTATCACAAATAACTGGATGAGAAAAAAATTATATAATCAAAATGTTGATATTCCACACTATCAACACAGTTAATTATATCACTTAGCTTCTCCCATAGTTTACTTGACTCGCAGTTAGCCTGAAAAATGATTATGAGCGTTCTTTAAATGAAAAAGTTTGAAAACCTATGTTTAACATCTGTTTATAAATACATGTCTCAAAATAAACTCCTTATATTTGGCTTGATAAAGTTCATCAGAGGACGAAACGCGTTGGTTAACACGTTGTCTCCCAAACCTCATTTCTCTTGTTCTCCCAGGGTTCCAACAGTATACCTTAATTAGTTTTGGTACAAGCAAATTTCTTTTAACATTTTTCATATATGAGGCAAGGATATCACTGGCAGTATTTATTATTACCCACGACTCACCTGTGTGTAGTTCGGTAACTGAGTTCATCTTACAACCCAGAGTCCCACACGACCCACACGAATGCATAGTACCGCTCTTGGTATGTAAAAATAATAAAAAAAAAACACCCCCAAAAACAATAGTAGAAAAACCAATTTATAAGTTGATAAACAAGCTGAAAACAGATTTTTTTTTGGGGGGGGGTGAATTAACAAAAAAAACATTTAATGCATCAATCCCTCTAACTTACACAGCCTGTCAGTTATTTTGTTAAATAGTAAGGTAGACACGGTTCTTTAGCATTGGATAGCAAGTAGTGTATGAAAAGGACAACGAAAAACTAATTCACTCTATTTCCCAGGAATCCATGACAATTCCCAGATGATAAAGTAAGGGAACACGTGGAGATGGAGAGAGCCGTGATCGCCTACGCCCTTGAAGGGTTTTGGAATTTAACACGTTGGTTCCTAAGCCTCATTTTCCTTGTTCTCCTAGGGTTCCAATACTATATTTTAACTAATTTTGGTACAAGCGGCTTTGTTTTGACATTGTTTTATATATGAGGCAAGAATATCGTAGCTAGTATTTAATGCTCATGACCCACAGGTGTGTCGTTCGATACACAGAGTCCCACACGACCCACTATGGGCCATTTGAAAATTTCCAGCATACAAGTATTACATAGACACTAACTCTTATTTTCTATATTTAAAACTATTTTTTTTAAATAATGTAGTTCTGATGTTCCATGGCCTCATAAGCAATCAATCATAGCATTCCACTCCCAATAATTCTCATAGAAAAGAAAGTGGATTTTTTTTTATCACATTAAACGTTATTTTTAGTGGATACTCATATTTGAGTAGACGCTGCTTTTATTTATTAAACAGTATTTTCGTCTGCCGGTCTGAATGTTCAAGAGATCATCTTAAAGGAAAATATGCGCGTCTCGGCCGCGAAGTGCATTGATGATCAAGCAAAGTTGAATAATGTGTTGCCGAGTGGTTTGAACGTTCGCTTTCTGACCCTGAGACACGGGTTCGAATCTCACTACGGTTGATTTGTCAGGAAATGAGACTTCCTGGTGTTATCGGTCTGGACAGGGACGATCGCAGCAGTTGCACCTTTGGAAAGTGCCTGAAAACCATACCACGGGTTGACCCAAGCCTTGTGAGTGAAAGTGGGTAGACGTAACACTTGGGGGACCCTCCATAGCTGTGCTAGCAGAAAGTCACAAGTCATCGTGTCCGAGGGTTTGAGCGTGCTGGCCTTGTTCAAATTGTTGATCTCGTTAGATAACACGCTCTCTCCCAGAAACTGTAACGAAGGTCTCCTCAGTATAGTTGCAGAATAAACCGCAGGCAGGCTCAGTTTGTGTTGAACAAACACAAATGTGCACGAGAGGTAGTCTGAATTAGGGATTGGCTAAGTACCCTAGTAGATGGGTATCCTCGAATACGAGTGGGCAGCTATATATATATATATATATATATATATATATATATATATATAATTAATTGATTTAAAATATGTTTTTTTCTGCTACACAGTTCTAACCATGTTTCAAAAATGGAAGCTAAAAATTCGCTTGAGGATGAAATGGAACTAATGTCTTTAATTTAATTACAAAATTAAATTCGGGGCTTTTAGCTACCATTTTTGAAACATGGTTAGAACTGTGTAGCGGAAAAAACATATTTTAAATCAATTAATTTATAATATTAATGGTCTGTAAATTTACATTGAGCACTATTTTGTAAAAATAAAAATATCTATAAGAACACCGGATTATATATCTTACTGTTCTTTTTTTCTTTATATATATATATATATATATAAAGAGAGAGAGAGAGAGAGAGAGAGAGAGAGAGAGAGATGTCATGTTTGTGTGGGTTTGTATGTCAATCCTCTCTCAGAACGCGGATCGAAGGAGTTTCTTACATGTGATCAGAGCTTTTCAAAAGCAGGTCTCCTCAGCCACATGCAAAATCATTGGGGTGTCAACTACGATCCTATCATCCCTGATGATCATACATGTACAATCTATATATATATATATATATATATATATATATATATATATATATATATAGTGGTATATATATATATATATAGCGTGTGTGTGGGGTATATATATATATATATATATATATATATATATATATATATA